CATTCGCTCGCAGGCAGATGCCCTTGGTAGGTTAGCCCCCCCTTTAAGTTTCATTGCCGTCTTAGCGATGTCTTCTTAGCGATCCTCTTAGGAACCCATTGTCGTTGTTTCGCATGTGTAATTTACCCTGTAAATAAAATATATGACGAACCTGGCTGGCCTTACTTGCCTATTGGGGATCTCGCGAAAATTTTGGCGAATCATTAAGTTTGAACTGCAAATGGACGCGCCAGGTGCAATCCTACATATATCATGCCCAGGCGCCTGCATGCGTCACGACGCGCGCCCAATCAACGCGCCCCTCATCGCGCAGTTTGCGGCCCCGCCAACAAAGCGTAGCCCCAATAATGCTGCCGCCTGCCTGCGCGAACAACGAACTCCGGGCGTGACTTTTTCGGCTCAGACTGAACCCAGGCCGGGCGCGATGGCCACTAAGAGCTCTCGCGCTGGAGCGAAGGCTCAGACGCCTCGAGGCTCTCGCGCAGGGGAAGGGAGGGCTAATCCTAGAGGCTCTCGTGCTGGAGAGGCGAGGGCTAATCCTCGGACGCCTCGAGGTTCTCGCGCTGGAGAGGCGAGGGCTAATCCTAGAGGCTCTCGTGCTGGAGAGGCGAGGGCTAATCCTCGGACGCCTCGAGGTTCTCGCGCTGGAGAGGCGAGGGCTAATCCTAGAGGCTCTCGTGCTGGAGGGGCGTAATCCTCCGACGCCTCGAGGTTCTCACGCTGGAGAGGCGAGGGCTAATCCCGAAGGCTGTCGCGCTGAAGAGGCGAGGGCTAATCCTCGGACGCCTCGAGGTTCTCGCGCTGGAGAGGCGAGGGCTAATCCTAAAGGCTCTCGCGCTGAAGAGGCGAAGGCTAATCCTCGGACGCCTCGAGGTTCTTGCGCTGGAGAGGCGAGGGCTAATCCTAAAGACTCGCGCTGGAGAGGCGAGGGCTAGTCTTCGCGCCTCGCGCGCCGGGGAGAAACGGCGGCGGCAGCCAGAGCGCCGCCTCGAGGAACTCTGGCCATCCTGCACCCCGCTGCCATGGGACCTCTGGGCAGCTGGATGGCATGTGTGGTTTCGGCCCTCGTCGAGTTCAGCGACTGCGACGAAGCGCGATGCGACGGCGCGACGCTTGGGACGTGTTTAGAACTTTGGACGCTTACGCACTGGAGCACGCATCAGCGTATGTCCGCGAGGGCCGCGGGACAAGCCTGGCGGAAACTTAGCCTTGAATACAGGGGCAAGTTGATTTTGGAGCTGGATGTCAACGCGAGGCGAGAGGCGATGCGACAACGCGGAGCAGGATTTGCAATGGCTCTAATTTCCAGCGGGTTTGCCACCTGCGACGAAGAGGAACTGGTGCCCACCTTCGCGCTGGAACATTGAGTTGCGCGGCGCGTGGGGGCGCGCTGGGGCTTAACTGTATATGTGATAAGCGGGTTACTTTGAACTGGCTCATCGATTTGTTTTGGGGAAACTTAAAAAAGAGAAGGATGAGAACGCGATTAGTAAGTTTGCTCAGTCGCTTCATAGGCCTTTTTAGCTTAACGATGGGAAGAGTAAGCCAAGTATCCTAGGTGTCGAATGCTCGTGGGCTAGGTGCCGAATAGCACGGTTAGACTTTGGCGGCCCGCTGGCGCATGCTGTGCGACGCCAAGGTCGTGCTCGCGCAGGCCGGCACTACGGCGGCGCAGCCCGCGGGCGCCGCCCCCCGCGGCGGCGGCCCTGCCGCTCGCGCCCTGGCCAAGGCCGATGCCTGCGGGAAGGATGCCCGCAAGCGGACTCCTTCTGGGCACGCTTATGCGCCGTCAGCGCTCGACGAGGCAGCGGTCGCCTGAGCGCCCCCGGCCGCGGCTGAGCTGCGCCCGCGCCAGGCCCTGCCGGATGCTCGGGCCGCCGCCCGCGGTTTGGACCCTGCGAGCCCCGCGCTATCGACGACTCTTTCCATGGGCCCTCGGCCAACGAAGACGCCCAGAAATAATGGCGCAAACCGACGTCCACCTTCTTGTCACCGTAACCCAAAGCCACCAGTCAACCAATGACACATCTTCCTCACGCAGGCCGCAGCTCGCGGACGCGTCGAGCTGAGCGCGATCCGCACCGCGCGGGCCGCCGTCATCGGCAGCTTGCCTCCCGCCCCGCCGCGAGGGGAGAGCGCGCGTCGCCTCCCGCGTTGCCCTCGCCAGAAGCGGCGTCGATCGCGAGTGCGATCGGCTGCCGACAGAGGCAGCGGGGCGCGATGGCCGCGGGCCGAAGCGCGCCGCGCCTGTCCAGCTCGAGGGCGCGACTACCGCGAGCGGTGGCCCGCAACGCCGAAGTTGTGCACCGCGCGGGCCTGGCAGACCGCGCAGTGCGCTCAGGCCCCGGCGCCCCCGCGTCGGCCGCCAGCCGCGCGACGGCGGGCGTCGAAGCCCGCGGCCCCCGCGAGCGCGGGAGGCTTGGCGCCGACGACCCGCGGCCGGCTTGCGCGGCGGAGCCGGCGGCAGGCGCGGGCGCGCCAGGGCCCGCGGGGGAAGGCGCTCGAGGGCCGCCCCAGCCACGGCGGCCACGCGGCCAGCTCGAAAGGCCGCCCTCTGCGCGTGGCAGGCCGCCCCCCCAGCCCCGGCGGCGCGCGCCCCCCCCCCCGCGCTGCTCGAGCAGCGCGCCCGTCGCAAGTGGTGCGCCGCTGAGCTTGCGGCGCGCGAAGGCCCTGGCTCTGCCGCCCAGGCCGGCAGCGTCGGCGCTGGGCCCCTGCGCCCTTCCCCGGGGCCCGCGCACGGCACGCCTCCGAGACTTCTGCCTGCGAGGCGCCTTAGGGCCAGCTCCGCCTGGGCCCCCTGCGCGGGCGGCAGCGAACCCGAACGTCGCCCGGCGCCCGCGGGGCGCGCCTGCGCCCTGCCCCCTCGCCGCCGGGCCCCATGCTGCGCTCCAGGGGCCGCGCGGCCAGGGCGCCGCGCGGGCGCTGCCGCGCCGGTGCCGGCGCCCGGCGCCTGCCGCCCCATATGCCCCACAAGTTCAGTGCGCCGCTGCTTGCGGGGCGAGAGGCCGCGCGGGCGCCCGGGGCCGCGAGTCGAACCGCGAGGCGAGGGAGATGGGCCCAGCTTCGCGCGAACCCTCGATCCCAAAGCGGCTCTCGCCAAGGCCTCCGTCACTAGCCAGCCCCCTCGCTCCCGCCTCGGGCAGCTGGGTTTGCGCGGGGAGGGGGCGGGGCGGTCGGCCGCCGCTCGCGGCC